CAACGGTTATCAAGGTGATTGTTTAGTGAAGCTAAGCCACTACAGTTATCAGCTCGTGCCTTAACTTTTTCTGTTCTTACTCGACTGTTACCATTTACTGTTTTCGTGTTCTTCCTTTCTTGAATCCCTTCCGGGGTTTCGACAGAGGTCTATTCCATATGATGCTGCTTCTCACGGCGCTGAACCTAGCACATTGAACTTAGTGCTTCTTTGACCGTTTTCCATCTGTATTCCATAGTTCCCTCAAATGCCCTGGTATGGTCGAGAGTGGGGTGGGCCTGCCCTCCCTCTCGAAATGCTCTCACACGGACACGCGTATATAGCTTCCGCCAGGGAAGTCGTACTCACTGCCTTCTCGAACCAGGGGTGTTGTTTACGAAATTGAGAGGAAGAAAAGCGAATGTCCGGCGCTTTAACCGGATCCCAAACCAATGGTGCACATGGGCTCCAGTATCCTGTGGGGACAAATGGCGTATGAACCAATTGTTGCTCACCGGCTTCCATGGGACTGCATCTCCTTACGATGCTCCATTGCCTTGTGGATCAGACCTTTGGGTCGAAGGCTCGGGGTGTGGCCCTCTAAGAAAACCACCAGTTTCGGTTTGAGCACCCGGAAGTATCACAGCCCTCGCACAAATCAAATGAGATTTGTGTGGCGCATATGTATTTGGTGCCTCCTTGTACCAATGTTTATGTGTTTAAATAAATAAATAAATAAAGTCCTCCATGGTAGTTTCTTCTTATGTGAGATCTTGTAAAGCTTGGAACCTGTTATTGACAGCTATCTTGAATTAATTTAGTTTGTCAGTATGTTAAAGGAAAGTTGTATTGAACCTTTGTAATGTTGTTTCTCCGTTGGTCCAGTGCTTCTTCAGCTTCAGTTTCATTTTTGAATCCACCACATAGTGATCTGAAGCTATGTCATCTCCTCTACTGGTTCTCACATTTGACATCTTGACTATTTCACTTCATTTTGAACTACTGATAGAATAAACTCCATCATTAATAAACATGAAACTGATAGATGTATCCACCTGATTTAACAGTTACTCCAAACATTTCTTGACAACACAAACATTATATGCTTGTATACAGTATTCTTGTTCTAATACATGAAAGTTATATGAAATTAGGCGTTACACTTATCCAATGAATAGCTTGACAGTCAATATTAGATGATTTCTTTATATCTTGATTTGTCATAGAATATATAAGTTTGTCAGTTTTCTTTTGTTCAGCATTAAATTTGTATACTAACAGATTAATTTGCATTCAGGAACGCTTTTAAACTAAAAAAACTAAATGAATATTATCAGAAGGGGTTTTAAGGAGATTTGAGTAATTTCAACAGTTGAAATCATATATATAACTATTAAGTAACTGTATTATATGTATATTCATATTCCTTTTGCTATAAGCTTCCATTTGACATATTAACTACGACTGTACGATTCGTTAGTACATAGTTATTACCAGTCTATTTGTTACAGGCTCTTACACTCTCAGCTACTTTTTTGCTTGGTCTTGTTTAATTATCATTTTCTGTTTTACAGTGTGATGCGATCTAATTTACTTGTATATAAACTGCATATATCCAAAATACATGATTCATATAATGGAAGCTGAGACTGTGTTCTGGACTCAAACAGACAAGTCTAGGCAATACGAACCAATAAGGACTCAGAATTGACTCCAGACTGCCTCATTGGTTTGGCATAGTACCAAGGCCATATAAGTTGGTGTTCTACTTGTGATTTAGTTACGTGATATAATAACAGATTCATAGGACATAACACTTTTCTGATATGTTTGAAAAGAAAATGGTATTAAGTTCATAGAAGAAAATAGCGGTCAGTTTTAATATTTTAAAACTTTGGGATTGAAATAAGAATCTATTTTTAGAGACACTGCCTACTAGTTAGTAGTATGAATAATCAAGCTAAATACTTCAAAATATATCGATTCAAAAGAAAATATTCTGTCAGAAAAAAAATAAATGCTAGTTTGTGAGAAGTTCAAGTAGTCGGATATTCTAATCATAAATGTTTCATACGTTACGTTGGCATACCGAACATGGCATTAGAAAAGAACATTTGTATGCTATGTATAATATCCTAATTGATTTAATAAGCGTAATTGATTTTAGTCTCCAATCAGCTATCATACATTATGCAAAGTAATTAGTTAAAGTAATGAATCTGGATTTCACAATGATCATAAACGGTATCCGTGGCTATGAGCAATAAATAAATATGGAGCTTGGTAGGTTTTATCTTTAAATATCTGATAATAGTAAAGTAAGATTGACCTTATTGTTTACATATTCTGTTTATTTTCCAATGATTCTGTTCATCACATAAAGGGAAATAAAAATTTGTTAATCTCTTATTTCTTACTGTCTGAATTGTTTTTTCAATGTCTCGTGTCTCAATAGATGTTTCTAACTTAAATATTTGTCAATAATTACCTTCCATTTTACTCATTTAATCTTTTTATCAATGATTTTTACCAAGTTCTTGTGCTTAGGAAGTGTGGTACATTAGGGCTTTGGTCAGATAAGTTATAGTCTATGTAGTTCGCAGTTTGTTTTAAAGTTTGACTGACTGATAATTATTTGTTTCAGTGTCTTGGAATATTAGTCTTAAAAACCAATAGTCTGAAGTAGTCTAGTATTTAAATTTAGTTTAGTTGGAGTTTTGTTCTCTGAGTTCGAGGGTTTGGCCGCGGAGCTCGTATTGTTCTTCTGAAACACATCATCAAGAGAATCTTCAGGTAGAAGTGAAGTGTTCTAATTTCTCCACATATGACACACAACTTGTTCTATAGACTTTGATCCTGATTGTTTATTGTCGACCTTTAATTGTAAGTTACAAATATTATCTTCAACTAAATATTGATGCTACTGTAAACTGTCTAAACTATAAGAACTGTGTACAAATGCGACGGCGTGATGAAATACATAACGGATGCTAGAAAATGTCAAACGTCGAATGATGGAATAACCATAAATCAACTAAACTTTTGACCCTCTAACAGAAAGAGAAATGTATCTAGCATATTATAATCGCAAAATCACATCAGTGACTGAAAATCAGAATATATCAAGCTAAAATATTCGAGATTGACAAATATTAATTAAGGGTTGCACCGGAATACGAGCAAGAATAACAAGACATTATTAAGTAGAAAAACCGAATGAAGAAGTGACGAACGAATCCTATGACACGCAAAATATCAGCTTGGTAAATGCAATCGATAGTGTAATTTATCAGTCCAAGCTAATGTAAGTGGCCTGTTATAACAAACACGGCTTTGAAACATGTAAACGTTGAACTACTTACTAATATTAAGTAGTACGATTTATAAATAAAAAGAAGAGTCGAATTGTCATTTCGGTTGCCAAATAACCTAATGACTGTACTTTTTCCAGTGAAAGTAAATGCTTTTTTTCTCAGTAATTCAAGGAAGTAATTACAAGGCATTATGCCCAGATAAAAAACTCCACCTAAATTATTAATGAACAAATGATATTTATTTCCATTTCATCTTTGATATTTTATCATTTGATTATCATCCGTAAGATCAATTATGTATTCGCGTAGACGGATAGGCAGTTTTATCTTGACGCTTTGTAATGTATTTACATTGAAATATGTGTAGTAGCATCTTAAGGCTTAGAAAACCCATATAAAGAAAGTTGAAGAGTTTAGATTACATATTCGTTTGTTATCTCTTGTTTAATTCATGACTAATAGTGATTATTCAGATATAATGGTGTGAATGAAATTGTAAAGGAGTAGGAAAAGTGTCATTTAAAAAGTTGATAATTAAAAATCTGACTATTTTTCAATGTTTCGTCATCTTTAGTAGTCATAGTATTAAAAGAACTTTTTAAAAATCTTTATACATCAACTCCGAAAATACCTTGATACCTTTGAGATTAAAAATTAAATATACAATCGATGCAAAATGAAGCCACACAATACAGTTGATGGTCATTTGTTTTATCAAACTAAGAAACACGGTATGTAAGCTTTCTACACCACTAGATGGAAAAGCATAAGTTGAGCTGCCTGAAACTAATTTTTCACTTGATATCATTAGATGAATGTTTCTACCACTCAATAAACATTCATTTACAATCATTCACAGTGTAACATGTCTTATGTCGCCTGTTACGGTTAACGTAACATAGTTATGTACGTAAATTACCTTATGTTTATACATTTCAAATTGACAGGTATAGATTTATTACATAGATCATCCACTAAACAAAGTCTATTTTACTATTGATTTCAAATGAAAATGTTATTTTACAACCAATTATTATAAGCATATAGCTACTTATTGTTAGATATCAAATAGGTCCTACCTTTCAATCTTTAAAAAAATAGTTATGTTTCGCTATTTTTCCTATTAAAATCTAAGATTAAATGTTTAAAAAAAAACAAAGAATAGACATAACTCTGTATTCATCTTAAAGAATCTATTGAAGTATTTCATGAGACATTTTTCGTTAGTAACAGTGAAATAAAGATAAAATTTTTTTTGTGTTTTATATAGTTTTCTAAGAAGTTATTATAGTCACATATAAAGCATATTATAGATTAATCTTCAAAATAGAACAAAACCAACAAAAACACTCATCTATTTCTATTGTATATACATATAAATTCTATTTTTATTCAGTTGATATTAAGATTTTTCAAAACAAAACGGAAATATATATATTGTTCAATGTTATATAATAAGTTAAATAGTAACAAAATAAAAATTTAAATCAATGTTTACCTTCTTCCTCTCCCCCCTCCTCTCTTTCCCCCCCCCTCTCCATATCAATTTATATCGTTGAAATAGTAAATAAGGTAATGAATAATATTTTGAATATTATCTTTTTTTATTGATCAATAAAATTTTTTCTTTAATGTAATATCATTTTAAGAAGGTAATCAATTCACTATTTTTAACTTGGATATTTATTTATTTTGATATGTGCATAGAAAAAGAAAAAAGGACACTGAAGTAAGTTTTATCACATTAGAAAATTGTAAAATACTCATTATTATGATTATCATATATTAATTATAACATAATTCATTTTATCATTTCTATAGGGTTAATTATCATTATTTTAAACTGGTATCATGAAATTCAATAAAGTCTTAAAGTTGAAAATCTTGATAATGTAATTATATTCTACATAGTAAACTAATAATCTTGTGAAACTGTGAATTGGATGATTTATATATTGGTTAGTTTTACTGTTATGTTTCGTTATTGCTTGAATGCTATTACTGATGCGTCTTACTCGAACAAACGAAGGATCAATGTTTCAGCGACTCGATAGCTATTCTGGTTCGTTGTCCCCGACACTGCTAACTCGATAAAGAAGTCTGGGCAAGGTGTAGAAAGTGTATTCTACAGACAAACAGCAGATAACAAGTCAATCAAACACACAAATCAAGCGTATTTATACAATTATTTACAATCGATATTGTCATAGAAAATTTTTAAACATTAGTCAATGAGTTCAATAATTGACCTATTTGCGCATTTAATCGATAGTTCATCAATTGACCCCAATAAAAATATCTAACATTTAATCGATAAGATGATCGATAAGATAAAATTTAAAAATATGAGTTTGGGGATCTATCGTCCCCAACATTTACTATTCATAGAGTTTTTAATAATAATAATATATGTTCATAGTAATACGATTCTTTGAAATATGAATATAGGTTCTTATGGTGTTTGAATGAACTGATGATTCCTTTGTACTTTTTGAACGCTTGATTTCGAATTCCAAATACAATACATTCGTTCGTACTTGATCCGATTACGTTATTTCTGGGATTCTTAGTTCATACTATAATTCAAATACTTTTAATTATCACAGTTCTGTAGTGATTATGATATATGTTGGCAGCTAAGTTCAAACATTCTTACTAAGATAAGTATTTATTTTAACGAGTGAATGTATTAATAATTTACAAATAATAGCCAATTAAGTATGCTTTTATGTTTTTTGCCTTTGGATTTGGATTTATAATTGTAGATACCCGGGTGACCTGCTTGAATATCTGGACTACCTGTTCCTGTCATTTAGATATTTCAACAAGTTATATATTTCCTTGCTTGTTTTAACAGATCATTATATCAGTTAATTGCATAGCCTATTCAAGTGCGTTTGTGAAAATTTCACGACATTTCGCTGCACAACTTACAAACATTTACAATCGGAGGCATCATGTTGGCAAGGAATATGCATTGAAAAGAATGAATATTATTCAGATTTTGACTTTTGTAATACTAATATCTAACTGGCAATCACTCAATATTTATCGTCAATTTCGATCAAGAAAATAAGAAATGGAAACTCGCTCAAATAATTTATGCTGAGAATTCTATATCGTACCAAAAGTCGAATATTGAATAAAGCTAATAATAGCATTACTACTACTACTACTACTACTACTACTACTACTACTACTACTGCTAATACTACTACTACTACTACCAATAATGATAATAATAACAATAATAATAGTAATAATAATAATAATAATAATAATAATAATAATAGAAACTGATTAAAAGTTTTATCAAAAATAATTTTCTTTATTCATATAATAAAATGAAAATTTTTCAATTACACTTTAATAGTAAGAACTGTATATCTAAAATAACAATTTGTTGAACAAATGTTTAACAATTTGAAAAGCTTGCCAAAAACTATAATCTTTAAAACATGAAAAAAACCCTTCTTATTAAATTACTAACCACGTTTTAAACAATTAACTAAGTTAAGAGACTGACCAGTTTCAGACCTAAACATCAATGGGAAGATGCAAGTAAACAGCACCAAGTGAATTTAAACTTCACCCTATTGCACAAGCAGGTGGTTATCAGGACTCAGTAGCTATGTGATTAACGCGATGGCGTTTGAAGCGAATGGTACTGGGTTCGAGTCCCAGGGTGAATATCAACACATGTAGGTACATCCAGCCGACGAGTCCCAAATAGGACGGGATGAGCGTTATGGATTTCACTGCTAGCCACCATTCATCTCTGCTTATTAGTTAAGATGTTAATAGTCTTCATGACTATTCACTTTTCAAATTAATTTGCCCTTATAACTTGAATATATATTTTTGTTAAGTTCGCTACTTGATTGACGCAGAATACGGTTTACGACTACAACACTCGAACGTTGGAACGTCAGCGTCTCAAATCAGAAGACAGAAAAGCTGTTTATTTGGTAAGAATCCAAAATGTACGGAAAATCATGGATATTAATAGATATTAGCATTTGTTAAATCAACATTATAATTCGGCCAATCTTCAAAGAAACATATTATGGTACTGTTCAATTGTAGCATGCCACGTTGATATTCTAGAAAGCTCCACCATGTTCTCATTGGATGAAAACTCTTCGGCTTCTTTAGGATCTCTGGAGGTTCCGTTGTAGTTCTCGGAAGCCGACTCAAAAATTTTCTATTTTTATTTCACTTAATAACGTTTAAAATAAATAACATGAAAATACAAACAAATTTTCGTAAATTTCATATATTCGGTCTATTTTAAACTTTGAAAAGGGAAATGAAAACAGAACGTTTCTAAAATATAAAGAAACATATTGATTTGTATTTCATTGCTTTTTCTTTAGATAAATACAACTGAATAAGTATGGTTGATTGGATTGTAGTTCAATAAATTCACCATAAACTTGGCTAAACATTGTAGTTGTTGCTTGTTTCTTTTTTGTTGAAAAGCAATGAATTGAAGATGTGTTTTTATTTCATAAGAGCCTTAGCAACACAACAAAACAGATATTCATCAACAAACAGTTTTTGGAGTTTTAAAATTAGTAATATAAAAATGTTAACTGCAATCCACTTCAACAATCGCTGTATGTGTCAATTATAAGAAGCAAGTCAATACCAAGGTATTACTACTGTCTAATTGCCTACATGAAATAGTCTAATGTAGTGATGGATTATATAAAACAAATTACGTTTTTTTATGCCGTTACTAAAGAATAAAATTGCTATCACGTGAAACGATAGTGTAAGTTATCATCACCTCATGGTATGTGTATTGCTTGATCGAAAGTTATAATAGCGATTAATTGCTTGAAAATAAGACTTCCTTCGTCTTGCATTAAACGGTTAGATGAACTGGTTAATCTGAAATGCAAAATTGCATCTGAAAAAAAAGAAACTTGAGTTTCATAAGACTTGTATCACATTTTTAAGATCAACTCTGTCTTCTAATTGCTCTATCAAAATGTTATACTTCAAATCAGTCTATTTTTGTTTAAACAACTCTGTCCTTTTAACGTGTCATTCTAAATTTGTCAGTATTTGCATAATCTTCTTATTTATCTCCATTTTCCTTGACCTTACAAGTAATAATCATGTAAGTTTTTGTACTTGTACTTGATTTATATGTGTCTGTCATCTCTATCATGTTATTGTTTATTTTCAGATAGTGTACTATTTGATTACTTACGCCTGTTACTCCCGATGGAGCACTAGACGCCGAGCAACATTCTCCAACCCACTCTGTCCTGGGATTTCCTTACTAGTTCTTTCCAGTTGTTGTTCATTTTTCTCATTTTTGTCTCCATTTCTCGACGTAATGTGTTCTTTGGCATTCCTCTCCTCCTTTGGCCTTCAGGATTCCATGTGAGGGCTTGCCTTATGACGCAGTTGTATACTTTCCTCAATGTGTGTCCAATCCACTTCCAGCGCTTCTTCCTGAATTCTTCCTTCGCTGGGATCTGGTTTGTCCTCTCCCATAGTAGGTTGTTGCTGATAGTGTTTGGCCAATGGATCCGAACACCTGTATTTTCTGGATGATGGCTTTCGTAGTTCTCCAGGTTTCTGCCCCATACAGTAGAACTGTCTTGACATTTGTATTGAAAATTCTGGCCTTGATTTTGTTTGACAATTGTTTTGAGTTCCAGATGTTCCTCAGTTATAAATATGCTGCTCTTGCTTCGCCGATTCGCGCCTCTACATCTGCATCAGATCCACCCTGTTCATCAATGATGCTGCCCACATATGTAAAGGATATTACATCTTCCAAATCATCTCCCTCAAGTGTGATTGGATTGTTGCATTCTGTGTTGTGTCGGAGAATTTAGCTTTTCTTTTTGTGTATGTTGAGACCTACTGCTGCCACGCAGGTCGTCTTCTCCTTCATGTATTGTTGCGTGTGCGATAGGAGGGCCAGATCATCTGAGACGTCTAGATCGTCCAACTGCATCCTAGCTGTCTACTGTATCCCATGTTTCCCCTCAGATGTTTACGTGCTTATAATATAGTCGATCACCCGGAGAAAGAAAAAGGGATATTGTACTATTTATCCCACAAACATGGCTGAGTTACCCATTATTTACTGAGTAGCTACTTTTGGGATTCTCCAATTCAAATCTCGTTGAATGTATTGACGAATGTATGAAAGATATATAACTAAAACTCTCGTATTCGAGTTACTTTATTCAGTACTTTATTAACGTAATTAAGTTCATAAATGTATATAAAGTTAATGAATAAACTGTATTTCATTGTTCCTCATTGATTTTCATTGAAGTTAGAAAAAATTTCATTTTAATAAAACTTACTTAAAGTAACGAATGTTTTACAAGACAGAGATTTCGCTTTTATCCTAATTTATTAGTTTGCCAAATTTATGTAGATAATGTACGTAACAAATAGAAAAAATATATTACGTTAGCATTAAGTTATAAAATTAGTTTTATTAGAATCAAAATGTAATATTGAAATGGAATTTCGTAATACTATAATTGTTCTGTAAGTACTTAGAAAAAGTAGGTTCTGTTTACAGTTTACCGAAAGTAGTATACTTCATATTTTTTAAACAGATTCTTCTTATAACACTTGGTATATTCTAACTTATTTTCAACTCCGATAACTTTTTCACTGAGAGTGTTTTAATCTAGTTTGCTTCAAATTTACGGTTTATTCAATTGAATTTTTGATTACCATTAGTATGTCACTGACATCCAAACAGATATAATCTGTCATGGTAACCGCTTTAATTCATAGAATATGTTTTAAAGTAATTAATGTGATATTTTAAAAGTTGAGATCATGAGTCATTTGAAGTTAGACCACCATGGAAAACCTGTAAGAACTGAATGACCGTTTCGTCCCAGCATGAGACTCCTCAGCAGTGGTCATCTAAGATCTCGCCTTATGAGATTCGAACACAGGACCTCTCAGTCTTGCACTCGAGTGCTTAACCTCTAGATCGCTCAGCCGGCATTCAACGGTGTTAATATCTAATTTCAATTAATCCACGAAATTGAGCGACACATCCACCATAGTCTCCAGTGATTTACTATCTCACAACAGACGTGGTTGAACTCCACTGGTCACTGCTTCTCACTAGAACTTCAGGAAACATCTCTTGGAAATCGTCACTAGTGAGCATACGTAGATTAATATCAGAAGGGGTTTTTGTGGGTATTACAGTAACTTTAGTAGTTCAGATCATGAGTCAGTTGAAGCTAAACCAAGCGCGAGACTGATAGCGCCTGGGTTTGAATCTCGAGAGGTGGGATCGTGGATGCGCACTGCTCAGGATTCCCACAGTAGGACGAAACGGCCATCCAGTGCTTCCAGGTTTTCCATGGTGTTACATTATCTAAAGATTTTTACATAGTCACTAACACTGAATATCCATTAATATTCACCGTAAGAATTAAATACATTTTGTCTTTTAAGCTCAAGAGAGCGAACGTATCATTAGTGTAAACAAGTGACATTAACAATAAACAACTGAAGGCCTAACATAAAATGAAATTTTATATCAATATATTATAATGATAGTTTTCATTCACATATCTTGACTACTTCTAAATGATGCTGATGACAGTTTTCCTGAAGCCATTGCGGGCGAAACAGGCAAATAATTGTGTGAATCAGTAGTTTAGTTTATTTGAAATAATTAGTCTCTCTGTTAAGTTCTCAGAATTATGTGATATGATGGATAATATATTTCGAGCAATCTTATCACACATATACTTGTTCAGATATTACATATTACATATAAAAAACAAAGATGATAACAAAAAAGTACACAAAAACAATTTGGAAACTACACTGGATAATAAATCAGTGTAACCATGGTAGATTAAGGATAAGAATAAATTGTTTTCGAAAACAAAAGTGTTAGGCTGTACCTGAAACCAATTTTGTAAATATTCTTTGAGAGGCTCATTCGATTTAATTAATTCATTCATGAATAATAATATGAAAACTAAGACAATGTGCTTCTTTGATGTAAACACCTTATTTACGAATGTACCTCTTCGGAAGACTGTTGATATTTCGTGTATCTATATCACATTAAATAACCTTTTGTTGCTATTTCTTGCAAAACAATTTTAAAGATTTATCATCGTTATGTATTAGCAGTGTGAAATTCACTTTTGAGGGAGAG